AGCATGGGGGGGGTATCTGTGTGAGGGGCAACGGGGGTACCTCTATCTGGGGGGGGGGACATCAAAGGGAGGGACCGGGGGAGGAACGAGGGAGGGGCGTGAATGGGGAGTACCTGGGGCGTGGGTACGTGGGAAGGGGCGTTCGGGGGGAGGGTACCGGGGGGAGCACCTGGGGGGGGGTCCCGGGGGGGCACCTGGGGGGGCGGTCCCTGGCAGCCTCCCCGCTGCCGTGCTCCCAGGCCGGGTGGCGATGCCGGTGCCGCTCCTCCTGCACCTCCAGGAGGTCGAGGTGGCTGACGTGGCCGTGGCCCATCTCCTCGTGTTGGATGCGCACCACCTGCACCCTCCCGAGCCCCAGGCTGCCCAGCAGCCGCGCCAACCCCGCCGACGGCAGCGTCCCGTTGGCTCCGTACAGCCCGAAGAGCTGCTGCAGGTAATAGCCGTGCTCCTGCGCGGCGTCTTCGGGCAGCGCCGACGGCTCCGCTTCCCCCCGAGCCCCCGCGCCCCCCAGCAGCGGCAGCAGCCACGCACACAGCAGCAGCAGAAGCCCGGGGGGGCGCGGGGGTCGCGGGGTCCCGACGGCCGAGCTGCGGGTTGGGAGGGGGGGAGGAAGCGGCGTCAGCGTGGGGCCGTCGGGGCGCCCGCGGGTTCCATCCCCTCCCCGTGCCTCAGTTTCCCCCGTGGCTGAGGGTTCCTCCCCCTGAGTCCCCCCCCGTGCCTCAGTTTCCCCTCTGCACACCCCACGCTGGGGTCGGAGGTGCGATGTCAGCGTGGGGACGTCGGGGATGGAGATCTGTGCCCTGTTAAAGCACGGTGGGACCTGCGCTCCAAGTCCCCCCACCACCCAAAAACCTCCCCCGTGCCTCAGCCCCCCACATACGCACCCCGCTGCCATCCGTCCGTCTGTCCGTCCGTCCGTCCGCCCGAGGGGACGGCTGGGAAACAACAGACGGCGTCGGGATCCCGACCCACGGCCACGCGTCCGGTCCGGGGCTTTGGGGACGGGGGACGGGGGGGACACGCAGTGCCGCGACCCCCGTGGGGACAGCGCTGGGGGGGGGACACGCGGTGCCGCTCGTCCTTGACGGAGGTTTTGCAACCGGGCAGCCTTTGTGGCGGCAGTTAATGTTTCACCGCACAGGGAGATAACGTGGGGGGGCCCGGCCGCCCCCCAGCGGGGCACACGCACCCCCACCCCAAAACACCCCACGGCCGCAGCCCCCGTCCCTCTCCCCCCCCTTCCTCTGCTCTACAGCCGGGATGCGGGGAGCAGCCCCCCCCCCTCCGGGTCCGGGAGCCCCAACCCCAGTGCAGGAACAGGGATTGGGGGTGGGGGCACAGTGAGGTGCCGTGGGGGCCCCCCCAACCTCCTGCAGGTGGGCCAAGTAGTGGGGCTGGGGACAGGCACAACCCCCCCCTGCTCACCCCTCTGCAGTATGGGGTCCCCCATGTCCCCCCCCCCGGGGCACGTGGTCCTCAGTGTCACCCAGTGCCGGTTCCATCCCGCGTCGGAATCCTCTGCATCCCCCCCGCTCCCCCGCCCCAGTGCTCACCTGGAGACCAGGAAGGGGGGGGGGAGCTGCGCTGTGCCGCCTGGGGGGGCCGGGGGGAGCACAGCTGACCGCCCCCGTCCCCGAGCTGCAGCCGCGCCGTCTGCTGCGCCCCAACCGGGGGAGGGGGGGGGCGGGCAAGGGTCACCTGTGCAAACCCAACCCCGGGAGGGGCCGCGGGGGGGAGGGCCCAGCGGCTGCGGGGGGCACGGACCCCCCCCAGGGCAGTGGGAACAGAGCAGGCGAGGCGTGAGGGGGGGGGAATTCCACCTTTATTGACACCCCCAAAAAGCCGCGGGTGGGGGGCGGCTGGGGGACACGGGGCTGTGCCCCCCCCCCAGTCACAGGGCTGCCATGCAGCTCAGCCCCTCCTGGCCAGGACTTGGCACGAGGGGGGGGGGTTCCCCAGGCTGTAGGCTGGGGGGGTGCTGGGGGCCGGGACCCCCCCGCAGCACAGTCCAGACCTGTTATCTCTTGCTGCTTCTCCGGGTCTCTTTGCCGTTGCTGACGGGGCCAGGGGGGCCGGGGGGGTGCCCAGGTTGGCTGCGGGTGATGCGGCCGCTGGGTGGGTGCGGGGGGGCGCTGGGGGGGTGCGTGGGACCCCCCGGGCTCAGCCCGTTTCCATTCTGGCTGTCGGGGGCTGAGGCTGT